ACAATCTCCTCCTTTGGGAGGGCAGCTAGTTGGGTAGGTAAAGGGAATGCAGTGGATAACGTGTATCTGGACTTCAGCAAGACTTCTGACAAGGTCCCACATGACCTCCTCATAAACAAGTTGGAGAAATGTGGACTGGACAGATCTCCTACAAGGTGGAAAGACAACTGGCTCACTATGTGCAAGCAAAGGGTAATTATAAATAGAGCCATGTCTGAATGACAGGAGATTCAAGTGGAGTCCCATAGGGGTATGTCCTGCACCCAGTGGTGTTCAACCTGTTTATTAACAATTTGGATGCTGGCATAGAAAGCTTCGTGAGCAAGTTTGCAGAAAGCAAAAAACTGGGAAGGACTGTGGACACCTTCCAACAGCAGCCCAATTCAGAAGGAGCTCAACAGATTGGAAAGCTGGGCTGTGAAAAGAAGGATCTGGGAGTTTTGGTAGATATGAATCTGCAATGTGATGCAGCCACACAAAGGTGAATGTGGCTTTAGGATGCATCAATAAAAGCATCAGGTGCAAGACACAGGAGGTGATAGTGACTCTGCTCAGCACTGGTTAAGCCTCAACTAGAGCTGCGTTAGGGCTGTGCGAGGCTTCAGACCATGCTTCTGGATCATGCTTCTGGAGAAGCTTTGGACACTTCAGCATCTGAAGCAGCATGTCTGGATCGAAGTGCTGACTTCATTAGGCTTCCCGAAGCAGTTCAGAGCTTCTGAAGCACTTTGGAAAAGCTTCGGAGCCACTTAGGATATCCGGCCATAGGGTATAATGGGGAATTAATGAAATAGCTATAACTTTGTCGTCTTTTGTCTGATTTGGATGAATCTTGCAAGGTTGGTAGCATCTGCTGAGTGGGTGAAACCTGCCAAGTTTCAAGGAGAACAGTGCAGGGGTCCAGGGGGAACTGCTTCCCAAATTCCTGAAAGCAAAACTCATGTCATGTGTATGTGTTACACTACAGCAGGGTGAAAACTGCAGATATGCTAGCCCCTCATGAGGCCACAAAGCCTACCAAGTCTCAAGGAGATAGGCGCAGGAGTTTGGGGGAAACTGCACCTCAAGCTGCTGACAAGCAAAACTCGTGCCATGGGTGACAGTGTGTGTGTTAAGGCGCAGCAGGGTGACAGCTGCAGGGATGGTGGCCCCTGCTGCCGCCACAAAGGC